GAGCGCGGGGCCTCCGCGCCGGTACCGGGGGAGGGGTGGGGGCAAAGTCCCTCCGCTTACGCCTCTGGCGCACGCGCTACGACGATTCTCGCAGCCGTCTGCGTAACGCACCTCCCGCCCCCTTTTGACGGCGATGAGAAGTGACCGCGCGCGGGGTTACGCAAAGTGTGGGAAAGGGCCGGGCCGCACGGAAAAGGCGTAGCGCGCCGCACGCGCCGGGTTCTGCCGCCGTGTTCCCGTCAGGGTCCGTCTTGGTGCCCCAGAACACGGCGTGGGCCGGTGAAAGCTCTCCGGGTCCCAAATCCAAGCCCTAGCCCCAGTCTTCCCGGGAAGGTGGAGCCTGACATGTCCTCCCCGGTTGGGTCTGTGAGGGAATTCTTGTTATGGCTCAGGCCAAGGCGAGGGCTCAGTGCTGCCTGGGCCCTGGTGGGGTTCCTGACACGCTGTGGCGGTGGCACCCGGGAGTCGTCACTACATCCCAAATGCCCCTTTGGGAGGCCTGACCTATGAGGGACCGTGGTCCTTGGCTCCAGGCAGGGCAAGAATCCTGGAGGCCACCAGCATCCTGGCTTGTATCAGCAATGGTGTGGCCAGCAGGACTAAGGAAGTGATTGTCCCCCAGTACTCCGCACTGGTGAGGCCCCACCTTGAGTACTGTGTTCAGTTTTGGGCCCCTCACTACAAGAAAGACACTGAGGTGCTGGAGCGTGTCCAGAGGAGGGTAATGAAGCTGGTGAGGGGTTGAGAGGAAAAGTCCTATGAGAAGCAGCTGAGGGAACTGGGGTTGTTTAGTCTGAAGAGGAGGAATCTCTGGGGAGACCTTACCGCTCTCTATAACTACCTGAAAGGAGGTAGTAGAGAGGTGGGGATCGATCTCTTCTCCCAAGTAACAAGCAAGGAAATGGCGTCACGTTACACCAGGTGAGGCTTAGGATGGATATTAGGAAAATTTTCTTCACTGAAAGGGTTTTCAAGCATTGGAACAGGCTGCCCAGGGAAGTGGTTGAATCACCATCCCTTGAAGTATTTAAAAGACAGATAGATGTGGTGCTTAGAGACATGGTTTAGTAGTGGTGTTGGCAGTGTTAGGTTGATGGTTGGACTAGATGATCTTCAAGGTCCCTTCCTACTTAGTTCTATGATTCTATGTCCCCAGGGAAGTGGAGCTGGCAGCTCGGGGGTCTCAGCTGTCTCCTGGGCTGTCCAGGCCAGACCACCAAGAAATTCCCAGTTCCTCATTACTATTTCTTATGTCAGAAGATCAGCTGCTAAAACCCAAGCATCGGCAAAGAGACAGCAGCGCTATCAGAGGCCTTAACAGGAGGTGAGCATTCATGCTGAATGGCTCAAAGATCAGTATGTGCAACAGGAAATTTTGAGATTTCCTGAGCAATTACATATTGAACACATAGACTTAATTTAGCTCTCTGCAATGTAGACATTGCTCTGCAAGTTTTGATTAGGAGGTTATGTAGATCCCCTTCACCCTACCACGCCCAAGCTGGAGAGTGCTGAGTGAACGAGGAAGAAATAGAGCATTTACTTTGAAATAATTCTCTCAAAAAGGAGTGGAAATAAATGGGGAAAAGGAGGAAATGTTGTTTACTTCTGATGCACTTGAGGTAACTAAAATTATTCCTCCTGCCTTACGATTTTAGGAGTGTGTTTTTGTTGCATCAGAGTAATATCAAAGAGAGAGATAATATTATACTATATAACTTAAACTGGTGTATTTTCCTTAAGAAGAGGAGAAGGTTGTGGTGGAAATGTCAAGAGCCTCCAAACTGTCTGTGCATAAACCAAGTGACTTGAATGTGCCATTTTTCTCTGCTTCAGGCTCCTACCCTCTAAGTTCGACTCAATGTCGTTAGAGGGATTCCCTTTACCCATTACAAATATGGCCAGATTTTACATAGTCT